AATAGCACGGTCTCATCATAGCAGTTGATCTCCCGACCTCGAATCTCAAGTCGGAGGTTTCAATCACCGAGTCAAGCCTCATTCCTGAAGTTTTGTTCCGAAGATTTCACCAGCAACCCTTTCCATATGTCGTACAAGTTTGGCTTTTAATCCAAGTTCAACAAAACTTGCCGAGAAGATGCATTCAGAAGCATGTCCAAATGGGTTTGTCCTCTTCTGTAACATCCTTGGGTGAGGCTCGTCTTTAATCTTGTACTTGGTGCTAATGTGCTTTGCAGGGTATCACCCCACAGTCAATTATTCTTCCATTCATGTGGTGGGAAAAAATTGTGTTTGGTGATCAAAAGTTTGGCACTGGAAGGTAACGAGTTCTAGCACCAAGATCAAGCACTTCCGTTGCCGCTTGATTAAATCAGTTTGGGGTACCAGAGTTGGCTTCTCTGTCCAGTCAACGTCACTCTAAGTGTGGAAGGTGGAGTTTTATCTCACGGCATGTCATGTAACTGGTTATATCATCGTGAATCTTCACCAACATCGATTAAAGTCATGGCATTGAAGACAATCGCGACCTGCAGTGGTCGTCCCTTCAGTAGCTAGTGTTGGGGAGATACGGCTTTCGTCAAAAAAGAAGTTCAATGCGAGGCTGTCACGATCAAAGAAACGATCGTCCCCTCCGCGTTCAACATCAGTTAATGTTGAGTCATTACCATTCTCACTTTCAAGCTGGGCATTCACGTTGTTCATGCTCCAGCTTGAGGGGGGGAATAGGAGGTCAACATACGTCGATCGACTAGCTCAGTCATCAAGTCGATCGTGTCTATCTATCCGTCAGGAAGATCAAGAGACGTAGTCAATCGTCTCCGTCAGTGAGTTCAAGAGACGCAGTCAACCGTCTCCGTCAGGAAGTTCTAGAAGATGCAGTCAACCATCTTCATAAGGTTGTTCAAGGGAGAGAGTCAGTCGTCTCCAAATCAACCTCGTCCGAGAGATTATTCATCTCGAGTTTTGTTGTTCAAGCTTGTCATGCTTGTTCGTCAAATTTCTTTGTCAAGCTCGACATTCTTGTCACTCATGTCTTCGCTTGAGGGGGAGTGTTGAGGATATTAATTATTTAGTCAAAAATGATTAATTCCTTGTCCTCCAAGTCCCTTGTTTCCTTGTCCTTGTCAAAGAAGGAAACTTGGTTGTCATTAGGGTTTTAACCCTACGTCTATATAAGCTTAGCTACGGAGATTGTCGTAAGCAAGCCGTCACAATGTAGTCCCTAATAAAATATCAGTCGTGAGCTCGTTCCGAGCTCACCGTGGATTAGTCTCGATCAATCAATCGATCGAGGATACCACGTAAAGTCTTGTGTTCTGTGTTCTTTCGTATTTCTGCATTATCAAATTCTACACCCTGCACCATTTCTAAGCTAAATCGAGGTGAGTTTTTTGAAAATCGAAGATATACACAATCACGGGGAAAAAAGTAGTATAAAAGAAAATATCGTTGGTAAGAGAGAAAAAAAGAAATATAGATCAGTTATATAAAATAATGTCAAATTGAAGATGTGTACGAGTCTAGAATAGTAATAATCTTTTGGTATCTGAGATATATTGTTAAACAACCGATAATATTGACGAGTTAAAATTTGAGTTTCATTGATATCTTGATCTAATCATGTGTTATTGTTGTTGTTACAATTGAATATATGGATCATGATGTGGTTGTTGTAGTTGGATATGATATGAACATGCAATGGCTAGATGGTAGACTATGTGTTTATTATCGACTTCTTCATCGTGGCCAATTTTGAGAGCTTTTTAAATGGTGAATGGGTTGGCGGGATTGATTACGATTTGCGAGCAACACCTTTTTATTTCTTAAATGAATGGATAAAGTGGGAAACTAACAAACCAAACCCGAGTACCAGCCTATTTCTATGATCAAGTCAGCAACAATTTGTTAATTAGTTGACGTTGACTTGGTTAAGAAATTATAACACCGCGGTTGAAAAAATTTGTATGAGGAGAGAATTTAAAGTCGGGAAATTTCGCGTTAACTATATATGTATTCAAGTAATGTAACAGATAGTTAATATTTGTGAGAAGTTCGATTGTTTAGCGGATTTAGATATCATGGGGAACAAAAGAGTTAATTATTTTCCGACTTTCAATGCGCGCTAATGTTACGGTATTCGTTTCTCATGCTCTCTTTCCTAGGATACCGATGTGTGTCACAACATGATGCACATGAAGAGTGCTAGCTAGCTAATTCTATCTGGGTTCACCTCTTTATCACAAGAACTGAATTCCTTTTTTAGCAATCATTTCGACGTAAAAATATCCTCATCAATTTTTATATTTAGTCTACTCAATTATGCATAAATATTTTTTTCCTCCAATATACGATTTATCTCTACAGTATTTTATATTGGACGAGAAACGGAAAAAGAAAAATTATGCAAACATGTTGAACTCAAACCGACCCAAAATAGAGTTAGACCATATCATCTATCGGTCAAGATTCAAGAGGTATTATTATTTAGCTTTGTGCATGTTGGGGCATCAACCGATTATAGTGGACCAAATAGAGAAGTGGGGTTTATCATTCTTATACAATCTTATTTTAGTTTGAAAAGTTAGAAGATACATATAATTAGTCAATGCTGAATGTATAACCCACGTAATTTAAAATGTGAGTCAATTGTATTATATTATTGGGTTAAGTAAGTTGTGAATTGTGATCGATAACACGGTGAAATTTCAAAAGGAAACGCTGCTGGTTTCAGAATTCCCGGCATCTGTTTGATTTTGAAAACTATATATGTATATAAGCTCCTTTTGAATCGTGTACAAAGTGGGAGTTGGTGTATGATGTACCAATAGTACCATTAAGGACATGAATGTGCAACATTTTTTTTGTGAGAATCAAACCTAATAAAATTGTGCATTCATTTTCGTCGATTTGAACCCACTATTGGTTGCATTTGGTTCGACTTGGGATGCTTGTACGTACATTCTCACCCATTGAATTAATATTGTTTTCTTGATGAAATAAACAGTCTCAAATACAGTAAACATGATGACTTAATTAGAATGTTGGAAAGACTCGCCAATTACATTCGTAGTAGACTAGCATCCATTCTTTCTTTTATGTTTCTTCATTGATAAACTTGTTGAGGTTGATAAGTATGATCCCCACATTTAGAACTCGGGATTACAATCACTCCGCCAAAAGTGTATGTAATATACTTTATCACGAGTATAAATAGTCGCAATAACTTTAAAGTATATTGACCGCTTATATGTCGATTTTCAAAATAAACCGGGCAACCGCACCATGGTTGGAGAGGTTGACCGATTAAGGCTAAAGTTATCTTCATACATCAAGTGGCAATGTCGTGGAGAGTGATATAAAGACGAGAAACCCCGTGATTGCACCTGAAAGGTCGACCGATATCCGAAGTGTGTCGACTTGTTGATCTACACATCTTGCACACAACAACTACCTTTGATGTTTCGATGTTTTTTATATATTATTCACCAAGTTCAAAAGTCATAAGAAATTTTTTACACGATTTTTAGAGTGATAAATTAATTATGTAGATTGTTATTTATAGAGGTTCGTGTTGCTAATGATTTCGGTTAAGTGATAGCAAAGTTCTTGTTTAGTTGTACCAACCGCTCAACCATTTTGTTTTCATTGTCGACCATTCTTTTCCTTTGTAATAGTGTAGTTGTATTATCTGGTCGACCCTTTTATGATAGCAGTCTACTTTGTTACGATAACAATCAACCTTTTTGTACAAATCACAGTGATTCACAATGCCAAATTCCTGAACTACCTTTGCAATTTAGCATAAAAGAGTCCATACAAAATGAATTACTTTAAGCATATAAATTATCCCAAGCTGGCCTAGCTCAAGAAAGGAAAGATGCGAGTACGTACTCTGACCTATTAATTAGGTTTAGAATTCCAATTTGGCGCGGGGAGTTGTTCCACGCGTGCATGAAAAGTCCCAATGTGCATAATTACCACAAGCCCGTCCACGTAAGCTTCAATCGCGACGTCTTATGAGCTCATGATTTCGTTCTAATTTAATTAATTACCCCTAATATTTATCACGGGAATTCAAATAGAAACAAAGGGGTTAGTTCATCTCCCTCTTTTGACCCGTCTAAATATTATCCTACCAATACCAAATATACGCCGACCATATATAGAGTATGGACCCATCATCCTATAAAACTACCATACGTTTACATAATGCTAGATTATTTGATTTTACTGGAATGAAATGGTACCTCATTTTGTCACAACAAAGAGGCCGTAACGACGGATAAAAATTGAAAATCGAAATAAAATTATGTATGACGACTGATAAGGTTTGTGTGTTGCCATTTCGTGGATAGCTACGTTTTACAAGCAGTATATGAAGTGGAATTAGAAGTGGCCATGTACAAACAATAGGGCAAGTAACGAATTTCTAATAACAGGGGACCATCAACCGATGATTATATGAGACCTATTGTGAAATTTTGCTTAATGACAACTACTCGAGAATCACCATCAACAATGGCATCCTAGAGTTGGTAACAAAATTACTAGTTGATAAGCATCTCGTGAAACCATTGGTATTGCAACACAGGGATCAACAATATTACAAAGATATTGTGGGCGTGTTAAGTTAAGAGGATAGTGTCAGCAGAGTCGCGCGTGACAGACACATCCCAAGTCTAGAAAAGAGCATAATCAAAATTTCCCCCCTCAATCTAACTGACAATGAGTGAGATCCACGCGCGTGTACTATTAAACGAACTGCCATATATGATAATTATAACGGTTTTACTTTATATATTATAATTTATGTTCATGCCTTAAAATTAAAAAAACAACTTAATTTTTCCCAAATAAAAGCATGATGGTACTAATTTTAAAACTAAAATTTTGATGCAAAGTAGAAGAAGAAGTACTAGAGAATGAACAAGCAAAAAACAGCCAACACGGCTCTCTCTTTCCACCAACATTATTCCCCCTCTCTTCACCGTCATCTTCTCCCCCATCAAAACCCCAAAGCCAAAAGAAATGCCTCCACCACAACAATGAAGGAGAAACCAGAGAATCCCTTTTCTCCTCCAAGCTTCTCGTCGGAAAAGATGAGACCTTTACTTCTCTTCTTCTTCCTCTCCCTCTTGCCCCGACCCGGATCCGCCACCGACGCCCTGACCGCCGATCAATCCTTAGTCAACAACCAGACCCTCCTCTCCGCCGGCCAGATTTTCGAGCTGGGCTTCTTCACCCCGGGGAAATCCGGCAACTGGTACCTCGGAATTTGGTACAGGAACATCCCCGAGCGAACCTACGTCTGGGTCGCCAACAGAGACGACCCGATCCGAAACCCTTCCGCCGCCGCCCTCCGAATCGCCAACGGAACCCTCGTCCTCCTCCCCGACCAACGCGCCAACAACAATCCCGTCTGGTCGGCGAACCGGACGGCGTCGGAAAACCCAGTCGCCCAGCTTCTGGACACCGGGAATCTCGTCCTGAGGGATCCGAACCAGTCGGGTCGGATCCTATGGCAGAGCTTCGATTACCCGACGGACACTCTGCTTCCGGGGATGAAATTGGGCTGGGATCTAACCACCCGATTCAACCGGTTTCTCAATTCCTGGGCCGCACCCGATAACCCAGGAACCGGGAAATTCTCCTTCAAATTGAACTACACCGGTTTCCCGGAGGTCTTTCTATTCGATTCGTCCAGCATCGAGTACCGGAGCGGGCCGTGGAACGGGTTGCGGTTCAGCGGCGTACCCGAAATGCAACCCCTCAATTACATCTCCTTCGAATTCGTCACGGCGAGCAGAGAGGTCTACTACTCGTTCCACGTGTCCTCCGACACGATCTACTCCCGGTTGTCGGTCACCCCGGACGGGGTTCTCCGGCGGTACACGTGGATCCCCGACATTGGCCAGTGGAAGCCGTTCTGGTACGCGCCCAAGGATCAGTGCGACAGCTACAGGGAGTGTGGGGCCTACGGGATCTGCGATTCGAATGCGTCGCCGGTCTGCAAGTGTATGCGCGGGTTCCGGCCGAGGAACCCGGAGGCGTGGAATTTGAGGGACGGGTCGGGCGGGTGCGCCCGGGAGACCGATTTGGATTGCCCGAGGGACAAGTTTTTGAGGATGAGGAACATGAAGCTGCCGGAGAGCGCGGCGGCGGTGGTCGATAGGGGATTGGGGTTGAAGGAGTGCGGGGAATTGTGCGCCGGGAACTGCTCGTGTACGGCGTATGCGAGCGCGAATGTCTCCGGCGGCGGGTCGGGTTGTGTGGTTTGGTTCGGTGGGTTGGTGGATATGCGGCAGTACCCGGAAGGCGGGCAGGACCTTTACGTTCGTTTGGCGGCTTCCGATGTTGGTAAGTTTTTTTTAATTTTTTTTTACTGGATTGGTTTGTTACCGCGTATTGTTTACCCCTTTTGGTGGTTGCTTTTCTGCCATTCCCACACAATTTGTGGCTTGGTTTCACATTGCATAGGGTATTTAACTTAATTTAATTGTTTTATTTCATTCTTTAGTTTAGTTAGAGGGCTCATAATTCATAAATTCTTTTTGAAATTTGATCGGATTGATAATGGAAGCATATAGAAGGATTGAGATGGGTCGGGTATGATATGAAAATTGAGTTAAATGAGTAACGAATGTGAGTGGAGGGTTCATTTTTAGTACAATTTCCTGATAATGAAGCATATCTATATATTATTACTGAATTTGAGTTTGGAAGGTTAGGATTAATTATTCCCCTTGCAATTCAAGGGGTTGGTGTATTTTATTCGTTAAAATGATTAAGGGCATGATTTCGAAGATCAAAATCATATGAAACATTCTCAAATCTAACCGATTTGATGTTAGTTTAGTCTGAAGATAAGTAAATATCTAAATATATGTTAGCTTCGAATTATATTAATAATGTATTTAGAAAATCTTGCTTAAAAATGAAAAAAGAAATAATGGAAATCGAATGTAAGTAAAATAATTGGAGCTAAAAAGAGGTGGATGGAATGATAGAATATAAAATATTATTATTGAGGTCAAAGTGTGGGGAGTTTAATATTAGTTTGCAGGTTGTAAGCAAGATTTTCCTCGCATTTCGATTTGATTCTATTTGGTGATGCAAATCTCCATACAAACTGATAAAATAGTGGTCTCTCCGGTAACCATAATCCAAAATTAATTAACAATAAAGTACTGATTGTTAGGTTTAAAGAATAGAAACTGCCATCCTCTTCTTCCTTTCTCTCTCTGCAATGTGACATTCAGGGCTCAATGTTCAAAATTTCTAAAATTAGGGTAGCTGTATTTTCATTTGTTTATCATTTAAAACTCTCTTAGCCACATAATTTTCCATTTTAACTTCCATTTCTAGATCGACAAACTAATGCCGGATGGTAAAAGACTTGAAGAGTCGTAATCAAATCCTGAAACATCATGATTTATGAGATTTTTTAGTTATAAGTTTTGACACTCGATCGAGAATAAGTTTATTTTAATAGTTCGAGTTTTTAAAATTAGAAGAATCATGGAGGACTACTCTTACCAGTTACCAACGCTTGAGGATATCGTTAAACAGGAATTAGGTATTACCGTATACCTAACAACTTTTCGAGTTCCATAAAACAAAAAAACTAAGAAAAGACCACAAAAAAAATATCTAAAAGAGAAAAAACATGAAGAAAACGAAAAGACCTTGTCAAATGTTTGCATTGAAAAGGGGCAAAGTGTGAAGGAAGGCTAAATGGGAACCAGCCGTCCACGTGGAACCCGAGAACCCGGGTGTCTGCTTGTACAGCTCAGCACATTATTCACAGTGTGTTGTGGGACCCGGATCCGGGTCTAGGATCCGTTTTGTTCATAATCTATTGGGCCAGCAGAACCGTGGACGGTGGACCACCGTCGTGGTGGCCAAACAAACAAACATAAAGTTCGTTAGTTCGTTTTCCACGTTGTCCCCCGCCGTGGGAATTTGCTATGTTGTTCTTTTACATGGCCTAGTGGTTCATAACAAGTTGTGGGTTATAGATAGGGATTAGTGAGGTTGAATCGGTTTATTTGGATCGGGATGATTACGATTTACGAGTAGTGAGATAATGAATAGTAAAAGATTTCGAGTTAAACGTCTCGTTGAACGGACATTAAAAATTAGGGATGATAATTTTAACCCTGTCGTGGTAAGCCGACCATGAATCTCACTTCTTCGTCATATGATTCTTGGCCATGAATCATGGAGTCGTGGTTCACAAGAAAGAGCTCGCCGGGGCCCGCCCGAAGAAGTATGAACTAGGGTCTAGGGGAACAGTGAGTCTTCCCGGTTTCTCTCCGATGAGATGGCGACGGCCGGGGGCCCATTGTCCTCCAACAACGCTAATTTAGGGTCGGCGATTTCCAACGTTTTATGGCCCTCTAATCTTGGTGTGCCGACAAATGTTGACTTGTTTAGTGAGGTTGGGTCCTACACTTTCCTTTTGCTAAAGTGAAAACTGGAATCCACCGTTCTGTCGACATTGAAGAAGCCTTGAGCCATATAATCTCTGGGTCCCCCTCTCTCGTCGCTCTTCCTGGTCCCCTCCTCCTGTTGGCTCTCTGAAGATTAACTTTGATGCTGCTGTTCGCTCCTCTGGTTGCTCGTCGGGTCTTGTGTTACGTGGTTCTGACGGGCGGGTGGAGCTGGCTGTAGGTGCTCTTCACCCTGGTATTGCTGATCCCTACCTTGCAGAACTCCTTGCTGCTAGAGCCGCCATTTTCCTTGTGGTCTCCAGGTCGCTCTCCCGGGTCATCATTGAAGGAGATTCAGAGGTGGTGATTAATCAGCTGCGTCGTGGCGTATTATCCGATTCCATTGGAGGACCGGTGCTTCGGGATTGCTTTCTTCTCTTATCTTCAGTGTCTGTTTCCTTAGAGTTTAGGGCAATCCCCCGGGCTGCGAACAGGGCTGCCCATAGAGTGGCGCAGAAAGCCCTGTTTCTCTCCCCTTTAGAGTTGTCTTCTTTTGACTTTGTGGATTGGCTTCGTTTTTGTACGGGTGGGGCAGGGTTTGGGTAGTGTGTATAGGTTCTTTCTTGACATTTCTTGGAAAAAAAAAAAAATATAATCTCTGGGTCGTTTGGATGAGGAATTGTAACGGAGCAATTTGATATAATTGTCTCATTTTGAGGAAATTGTACCAAATTGTCTCATTTGCCAGCAAAAAATTTTGATGGATCAATCTGCCTTAGGTATTTTGAATTGATCCGTTTTGAGTCAATTTCATTTACCTGGGGTGAGTGCAGGTAATTCGAATTGACTCGTTTTAATTGCCTTATTTATAAAACGAGACAATTGATCAAATTGACTCATTTCAAGATTGATTCATCCAAACGACATTATTGCCATTTTTTATAAGAGAATCCCATAAGCTCTTGTAGTTCACTAGTTTTGATAGTACTGATTGCTGATTCTAACATTAATTCACCTGATCAGGTTAAGTACTTACCAGAATCGTATGGTTCTGTTGTTTTGATAGCTCGGGTTCGAATTTGGAGAGAGACATGTGAAAAAATAATAAAGTTCAAAACAACTTGAAAGCTGGGTCATGATTAGCTTTGTCTTTTGGTCCTCATTGCAGAAAAGCTAATTTCTCCAATCTAACTGGAGATTTTTCAATCTTATGCATCAGAAAGTCAAGAACTTGATGTTATTTGTTCAACTGATTGTGGAGGGTAGCTTTGGATGTGATTTTGTTAAAAAAAAAAGTAGTTAGCCAACGTTTAGAAAATTTGCTCTAATGGGACCATCGAAATCTATTACCTTCCCCTCTTTTCTTCCTTCTCCCATAGAAAGTGTCAAGACTTTGAATTGCCATGGAGGGATTTTTTTCCTTCTCTCACAGTTAAACCGAACATAGCGGGTTTGGTTCGATTTGGTTCAATGTCACCTTACCCTACCATGGTGTTACCATATCCAGCATTTATTTGGGTTAGTTGCTTGGTCCTGGTATGATGATTTTTCAGGGTAGTGCAATCACTATCTAGTTCATTCCTGGGATTCCATTCATTGCCAACTACTTGTTAATCAATGTGTGGTTTTGTGGCCATAGCTTTTCTCCATTATTGAAGTAACTAGAGGACCTTTCAAAATCAAGCAATGAATGTGTTTATGTTCGTGTGACGGATTATGTAATGTGGTCTCTGTGTTTCCAGGCAATGATGGGACCATGGGAGGATTCATTATTGGGCTATCAGTTGGACTTTGTGTCTTTCTCTTGTTGCTCAGTGGCTGCCTCGTGTGGAAAAGGAAGAGATTGATTAGTGCTTTCCGGGGCCAGAAGAACGACCACAAAGGTAAAAAAAAAAAAAGAGAAGCACAACTTGCTTAAAGATGAAGGACCTTTTTATCTTTTCATACATTTGCCAAATCTGATCTTGGAATCTTTGAACTGTTGGTCTTAATGGATGTTATTGTTCAGTGAGAAGATTGGGATTGCCAGAAAGAAGCCAGGATTTCATGTTGAATGACGTCGTGATCTCGAGCAAGAGGGATCATTCGGGCGAGAGGAACGTGGACGAGCTGGAGCTCCCGTTGTACGATTTCGAGACAATGGCGGTTGCCACGGGCAACTTCTCTGATGATAACAAGCTTGGTCAAGGTGGATTTGGTGTTGTATATAAGGTGATCGACCTTTCCTTTTCTTCCTTTTAAGTGAAAGCTCATGAACCTATGGTTCCTAGTATACTGAAAATGTGTGATGCATTTTGAAATGAGCAGGGTCGGTTGTTAGAAGTAGAAGGGCAAGAAGTAGCTGTGAAGAGGCTGTCGAGAAATTCAGGGCAGGGATCGGAGGAGTTCAAGAACGAGGTTAAGCTGATCGCGAAGCTTCAACATAGGAACTTGGTTCGACTCATGGGTTGTTGCATCGAGATGGATGAGAAGATGCTCATATACGAGTACATGGAGAATAGAAGCTTGGACTCCATCATATTCAGTAAGTAGTTTCCATTTTACAATCAAACTGGTTTTCACAATTTGGGTATACATTGTTCTAACATTCATATATGTGTTGCAGGTAAATCAAAGAGCAAGTTACTAAATTGGGAAAGGCGGTTCAATATAATCTGTGGGATTGCCAGAGGACTTCTGTATTTACACCAAGATTCCAGGTTCAGAATCATCCACAGAGATCTCAAGGCAAGCAACATTCTCTTGGATGGAGAGTGGACTCCAAAGATATCCGATTTCGGCATGGCTAGAATCTTTGGCAGCGATCAGACAGAAGCCAACACCAGGAGAGTCGTAGGGACATAGTAAGTACCAAACTTAAAACACCTGATTTGCTAGCTGCCTAGCAAAAAATTCGTGACGAATGTAATTCGTATGGTGTTTGGTGCAGTGGCTACATGTCTCCGGAGTATGCAATGGACGGACTGTTCTCCATCAAATCGGACGTGTTCAGTTTTGGAGTTCTCGTGATTGAGATTGTGACGGGGAAGAAGAATCGAGGGTTCTATAATCCCAACGACGAACTTAACCTCCTCGGACATGTAAGTATAACGAACTAACTTATTCGATGGAACTAACTCTGTAGTGATGCGTATCTAATTGAAATCATCCACTGTGTTACTCAGTGCTGGAAGTTGTGGAAAGAAGGCAAAGGGCTTGAACTACTCGACGCAGCAGTTGGTAATGTATACTCGGCCTGTGAAGTTCTGAGATGCATTCAGGTCGGGCTGTTGTGCGTCCAGGAGCGAGCAGAGGACAGGCCGACGATGGGATCGGTGGTGCTGATGCTGAACAGTGAGACAGCAACCATGCCTCAGCCTAGAACACCAGGGTTTTGTGTTGGGAGGAGCCCTCTGGAAACTGACTCGTCGTCTGGGAAACAAGACGTGACTTTTACTGTTAACCAGGTTACATGTACCATGCTAGATGCTCGGTGAAAAAAAGGGAAGAAAAGAAGGAAATTTAACTGGACAGGTTTATGTGTTCATGTTCAAGATGATGATAATGCTAGGCTGGTGAGGATGGAGGGATTCAGATCATCTTTGGTAATTCATGGCGAAAAATGTTCGTTGTTTAAAGATTTTGAAGGCGTATTCGTTAATGGATGCAACAGCTTAGGAAGGAGGGATGAGAAAAGCTTGCTTAGTAGCTTGGCGTGGCCCTTAGACAAAACTGTAAATCTTCATATAAGTTTGTTTTTCCTTCTTTTTAAAAAGAAACTATGGAAGGATTTGTAGTTTTTGTTGTTGTTTCGATTGTGAAAGGGGAAGCTGTATATGGTTTTTGGTCTTGTGGGTTCTTATTCTTTTCGATTGGAGGGATGAAGATTTGTTGTTTCATGGAAGCAGTTTGGTATCATTGTGTAACTTACTGACGAATTAAACACTTCCACATATGAGGAACCTACAAAGTTCACACCATCAATCAAAAACATTTAGAAGATAGGAGAATAATGCAAGAATTTTTTTTATGTATTCTGAATACATCCTTGGGGTCACCCCGCCACCCCGGGTCAATTACAACGGGTCACCTCGGCCACCTTGGGGTCACTCCGACCACCCCGGGTTACCTCGACACTTGAGGTCAATCACTTTGAGCACCCCAGGTTCAATCACCTTGGGTCACCTCGGCCACCCGGGGGTCAACTACCTTGGCCACCTCAGGGTCACTCTGGTCACCCCGGGGTCAATCAACTCAGTCACCTTGGGGTCACTCTAGCCACTCCAGGGATCACTCACCCCGAGTCACCTTGAGATCATCTTGGCCGCCCCCGGGGCCAATCATAATGGATGGAAAATTGGACGGATGCACAAATATTCGAGTTAAGTGGTACCCGACGCCATAACTAAACTTAAGTGCTATAGCTCCCCCGATTCTCATACTTTAGTGGTATCCTATGTATTTTACCCAATAAAATAAAAAGTGATAGGATAAGTATATAAGGTCAACATATTTGGAGAAAAAAAAAAACTTTAGTGGGTTGGGTGCACCAGCAAGAAATGCTAACGTGGTGCACCTAATTAGTGTGTCCAACGAGCAGTTGGGTCCCCGTTTAAGAGAAAATTTACTGTCTTTTAACAATAAGGGCCAAAACAAGAAAATATGTATATTTGAAGGAATATGCTAGGAAAATAAATAGTATAAGGTATATGATAGGAAAACCTTCTTAATGTGTATATTTGAGTTGTTGTGTGAACAAATTACTTATGTATTCAATATCATTCCCAACTGATTATTCGACATTATTTTCATTTTTAAGTGTTTATTATTTTTTTAATTAAATTGAAATAGCCAATTAAGATCATCCACATTGGTATTGCAATCTCAATTGCAAGATGACATGACATGTGTGTTTGCAATTGTAAACCCGATTGCATTGATGTGACTACCAATTGCATATTTGCAAGCTTGCAACAAATGCAATTGTATATGTAAGTCAAAAAGGCATGAAAATGGATATTTTTTATTTTATATTATTTTCTATAATTTAAACATAATATTTAATTACATATACAATTGCAAGTTAATTGCATTGATTTAGGTGAATGAAAGTGATATGAGGTGGATTGCAAAATAATTGAGTGGCAATAAAGAGCACAAATGCAATTGCAAAACTGTAAATCTTCATATAAGTTTGTTTTTTCCTTCTTTTTAAAAAGAATCTATGGAAGGATTTGTAGTTTTTGTTGTTGTTTCGATTGTGAAAGGGGAAGCTGTATATGGTTTTTGGTCTTGTGGGTTTTTATTCTTTTCGATTGGAGGGATGAAGATTTGTTGTTTCATGGAAGCAGTTTGGTGTCATTGTGTAACTTACTGACGAGTTAAACAATTCCACAGATGAGGAACCTACAAAGTTCACAATCAAAAGCATGTAGAAGATAGGAGCATAATGCAAGAATAAACCAAGTACCACGTTGAATACAAAATTTCTTCATATAACATTAATTATCGATTAGCTCAGGTGGAGGGTCTTCCTATTGCTCGGACGGTAACTGAGGAGATGAATGCGGTTTTGACCGCTGAAGTTCTGGCATCGGAAATCCGACAAACAGTCTTATCGATTGGTTCCACGCAGGCTCCGGGTTCGGATGAGTTCACTTGAAAATTTTTAAGTACATTATGGGATGTTGTTGGTGAGTCAGTGGTGGAAGCTGTTTGTTCCTTCTTTAGGACATGAAAGATGTTACGAAGCTTCAATCACACCTGGCTAACGCTTATTCCCAAAGTGGATAATGTGGAAATATGCGCCAATTGAGACCTATAAGTTAATGCCAATTCGTTTATATAAGCATTGCCAAAATCATGTCTGAACGTTTTGCCTAGTTTCTCCCCCAGATAATCTCGCCTGGTCAGAATGAGTTTATTCGTGAAAAACAGATAGTGGATAATGTTCTTATTGGTCACGATATATATAACTCTAAAGGTTGATATGGAAAAGACCTATGATAGAGTCGAATGGTCCTTCTTACTTACGGTTTTAGGAAAAATGGGTTTTAACCCGACCTGGATACGTTGGATTGAGGAGTGCTTGCGCTCCACTTCGTTTTCTATTCTGATGAATGGCATTCCGGCCGGATATTTTAATTTGACGCGGGACTTCGACAGGGTGATCCTCTGTCTCTCCTCCTCTTTGTCATATGCACTGAGGGGTTTGCGGCGCTCTTACGTAAAGCTATCGAGGAGCGAAAGCTAGCAGGTGTTCAGGTTCGTCCCCAAGACCCCGCGTGCCTCCCATCTTTTCATGAATATAGACCTCGGTTTATTCGTTTGAAATTTTAATTAGTTATCAAATATTTTATGTTGTAGAATAATTTTTTTTGTGCTGTGTTGGGTTGTTACTTAAAAATATCGCCAACCCGACCCAACCCAATTAAAATCAAATCATAGGACTTTGATTTTTTTGGGTGAGTTTGAGTTTAATATCTCCCAAATCGTAGTGCATGAGTCGGGTGATTTAAATGGCTAAACCCGGATCACCCGACTTATGTACACCCTATGTGATAAACGCTTCTTGACCCTAACACTGACCCAACTTAGAAAAGCCCAAGTAATTCGGCCTAACTGGTTGGGGCAAAAAGCCAAGGTAGTTAAGATTGAGGAAGCGTGGTGTGGTTGCGGAATTTACCACGTGGCCGGTTGAGTTGGGTTTACCCCGACCGCCCCATAACCCACCCGAAATTTAGAAAAAAGAAGGGGAAAAAGCAGAGGAGAAGATATAGAAGATCAATTCCCAAATGCCAAACCCTAGTAAATCCTTCATAGATCGGCCCGACAGTAGTTTGAAGGCGAAGCAGCAGATTGTGACGGCCGGGTAGGGGCTGCGCGTGTGGAACCGCTAGGTATCTGTTCTCCTCTTCCCCTGTCTTCCTTCCTTGTTCTTTTTTATGGTTTTCGTTTCGGAGTTGGATTCCTAATCCAAATCGAACACAAGTTCCGAATCTGATCGAGGGTAGGGAGACATCGACAACAGCGATCTGTATAAACAGGGTTGCAGATCAATTCCCGAATCCCACAACTCTGAAATTCCTCTCTACTGCTATGGCTGATAATATGCTCCGACAATCCGCTGTGCCATGGCTACTGTGCCGCGCCGATGGCGATAAAGATACCCGCTGCTACGATGTGGCAGAAGAGCTGTTTCACGACGACCACATTGACTTCCCGGTTGAAAAAACTTGTCGGGGGTCTTCCTTCGGTTGGCTGTTTATGGTCCAGCAAACGCCGCCGGTCTCCTTACTGAACCCTCTGACGGGGGATCAGATCCCCCTGCCGCCCTTGACAACGTTCCCTCACGTGCTGGCCTACCGCCCGGAAAAGCCCGGCAGTGAGTACATACTTCGTTATGGTTCCGGCAAGACATATGCACAGGACAAGAAGTACACCGAGAAGAAGTTCATCGTAAGGGCTGCCGTATCTGCTGAGCCCGACAGCTCGGGGGAGGAGGAGCCCATCGTGATGGCCCTCTGTTTCTGTGGCACTTTCACTCTAGCCTTTTGCAAGCCCGGTGATTCGAAGTGGACGAAGATTCCTCACCCTGCACCCATCCCTTTTGCTGACGTGGCCTTCTGGAAGGGCAAATTCCACGCCCTTGACCACGACGGGGGTGTTTACGTCTGTGATCTCTCTGTTCCTGATCAGCCCAAGCTTTTGTTGCGCGACAATGAACTTGATCTTGTTATCTCCGAAACTCGCTACTTGGTGATAAGTCCAGACGGAGACGACTTGATGATGGTTACTAGACACATATGTGTCTCTCCGGAGAATGATGCTCTATTTGAGCGCGAGTATGCATCAAGATACAAGAATGATGAGGAGGAAGAGGCGGCTGCTGCTGCTGTTGTTGATGAACCTGATGGTGATGGTGATGGTGCGGCTACTAACATCGTAACTTACCGGACCAGCAAGTTTAGGGTGTTCAAGCTGATAACGGACGATGATGACTGGATAAACGACGGTCAAGGCTGGAAAGGATGGGATGAGGTGGATAGTATCGGTGATTTTGCCTTGTTCGTCGGTTTTAATTCTCCTACTTTCGTCTCTACAGAACAACATCCAGAGCTAACAGCCAATTCCATTTACTTCACCGACGATGTTACTGAATGCTATCCATGGTGGGACGAAAGCCGCTATGCAGGTCACGACATGGGCATCTACAATCTGACCACTCGCACTGTCCAGCCCCTCTCTGCCTCTATACGTAACAGCCCTATGCCTGTATGGATCTCACCGCCCAAGTTCAAGCACGCACCCACCCAGCCAAGACGTGACTTTTACTGTTAACCAGGTTACATGTACCATGCTAGATGCTCGGTGAAAAAAGGGAAGAAAGAAAGGAAATTTAACTGGACTGGTATAAGTTTTCATGTTCAAGATGTTAATGGTAGGCTGCTGAGAATGGAGGGCTTCAGAGTTCAGATCATCTCTGGTAATTCATGGCGATAATGGTTGGTCCTCGTTGCTCAACGATTTTGAAGGCGTATTCATCCATGGGTGCTACAAGTTAGGATGGAGGGATGAGAAAAGCTTGCTTGGCAGCTTGGCATGACCCTTAGAGTAATCTGTAAATCTCATATAAAGTTTGTTTTTCCTTCTTTTTTAAGAAGGAAACTTTGGAAGGATTTATAATTTTTGTTGTTGTTTCGATTGTGAAAGGGAAAATTGTATATGGGTTTTGGTCTTTTGGGTTTTTATTCTTTTCGTTTGGAGGGATGAAGATTTGTTGTTTCATGGAAGCAGTTTGGTGTCATTGTGTAACTTACTGACGGGTTAAGCACTTCCACAGATGAGACCACCACAGCGTGGGTTGGTTTTGTGGGAAAAAGGGGAAATGTGACCACAGTGTGGGGGAATAGGGGATTAAATGAGTTTTGTGGGTTTAGTGGGTGGGAAAACCCACCAGATGAGACAAATGGTGGGGGGAAAGGGGAAGGGGTGTGGCCCACTTCAGTTTGTTTTTTATTTTATTTTTTTATTATTATTTTAATGGTTTAGTGTTTGTTTTTAGGGTTTAGTGTTTATTTGTTTGCTTTTATTTCTTCTTAATTATGTTTATGTTCAACTATCAATGTAACAACTTTCTTGTATAAATTATTGCGATTTCGTCATTAATGACGTTAATTAGTGATGAAAAAAATTATGTCCAAATTAGAAAAAAAATTATATCAAAATGTTCGTATTCATTAATTATCACTAACTATGTAAAAATAATGATCATTATATAAAAATAAAGTGTTGAAAACGACTATAAATTGATTTTACGAAAAAAAGTGTTCAACCAATTACCCATTTTTCCCACACCAACATTGTGACCAAACCCTCTCATTTTCCCCCTTTTCCCTCTTTTTTCACCTTTCCCACCCTCCCACATTGTGGATGGTCTGAGGAACCTACAAAGTTAACACCATCAATCAAAAACATTTAGACGATAGGAGCAAAATGCAAGAATAAACCTAGTACCACGTTCAATACAAACCACAACAACGACAAAATTTCTTGATATAACCTTAATTAACGTCATCCGCACGTACAAAGACTTAAGAACAATTTCGCTAATGTAACATTAACACCATTTATGACACATATAATTGTTCAATCATCCCTAATTATTATTCATGTCCTCCAATGAAGATTAAAAATTCGTACGAATTTACGTCAATTTGTCAATATATATAAGCACTCAAATTTATCGTTTATACATTATACATAACTCATACATGATACATAATTCAATGTTGAAACTCAAAATATTGGGATCATACCCTTGATACTCATCTCACCGAATATATATCATCATCAATAGTGAAATAAACCAAATCAACACTCTCTCTCAAAATCACCGGAAAAACACAAACCTTGTAATTATTGTTCATGATTACTAATTTGAATTAACTAAATAAATGTTACCTGTCAAAGTAAATAGTTTCGAATTATACAAAACCCTATTCCCCTGCCGTAGCACCATCGTGGTCGCAACCACAATAGCCTTCCCCAGCATCTGATTCTTTTTCAGCCCCCATTTAATCGCATTTCCTTCCTCCCCTGCCTCTGTCTATGCATCCTTGAGAGTCATCATATCTCTTTAATCGATCATCGGATTATCGGCTGAATATGAGAGAGGCTCTGTCGGCTCGCCCTTTGCCACTTCGTCGTCCGGTCGTTCCGCACTCGCTGTTGTGGCCGCCAACTTCCGCCTCGATGGCGAATCATTTTGAACGCCTCGGCGACATCGCTCTCGGATATTAAAGGTTGGAAGAAGTGGTAGTTATTGGGGATTTCCGGAAAACAAAATTAAAAGTAGAAGCGCCTGGTACGGCTTGAGGAAATAAAGGGTGGTTCCCGTGAGAATATTGGTTTTTCTCGCATGAAAATTAAAAATTATAACGGCGGAGAAGGGTCATGGATCGGAATAAGGCTTGTTGACGTTAGGGGTGGGCAAACGGTTCGGTAAACCCGAACCGAACCGAAACCAAATTAAACCGAACCGAAACCGAATTAATGTTATTCGGTTCGGAATTCGGAAGGAAAATATGGATAGTTCGGAAATCAGGGTTCTTTCAACCGAACCGAATTTCCGAATTTCCGACCGAAAAACCGAAATACTATAATTGCAAGCTCCAAATGGTGGATTTCTATGTTTGTAGTTGTTTTTAGACTTAAATATTTGAAATGTTTTATGACTTATGTGTTGAAAAGTTTGATTTTATCATTGATGATGCATATAATTGATATTTATTGTTTATATTAGGGGTGAAAAATAATTTAAAAGTGAGAAAATACAAGTAGCTTCACAAATTCGGTTTTGGGTGAAAAACCGAGCCGAACCGAATTATAATTCGGTTTAAACCGACCGAACCGAATTATAATTCGGTTCGAATTCGGTTTGAGGTTTGAAAGAATTCGGGGACCCGGTATTCATAATTTCGGTTCGGTCGAAACCGAACCGACCGAATGCCCACCCCTAGTTGACGTGTCTACTTCCATGTTTTAGTGCGTATAATGTGAGGTTAAATATGAAAGTCTTTTAAAAATTTTAAAGATAAAGATTAAGAAAATGAAAAAGACCCCAAAAGTTGTGGGGAGAAGTTCACTGAGAAAGCCCTTAATAATAGTATTTAGAGAAGATTTGTAGATTTAAAAAAAAATTCCCCGACGAGGTTTCAAGATCATATAAAACAGTACTATTCTTTAAGTGAAAACCCTAACCTAAGGGGACGAGCACTGGACACCTAATCTTTCACAAATAATACCCCCAATCCACTGAAAACAGAACCCCTAGCAATCCCAAATACAACCCTACATCCTCCAACAAGAAACCACGCAATGGAAAGAATCCAACCAAGAATCGAATGAAAACACCAATCTTACTTGCATTGAAGAAGCAGGCCAGAGATTGGCGTGAGGCACGACCACAACATCAGGCTCGGCCACAGGGACATCATCCCCCTTATCTTCAGCTATGTGTGCAAAACTCAAATGGAGGTCGAGCCTCTCCAAGGTAGTCCAATGAGCGATGCAAATCTGGCCGGCGAAAGGGCGGAAGTAAGCGCAGACGTCGCACTCATCGGCAGGAAGACCACACACCACTAGTAGGGGAGTGGGGGGGTCCTGGTTGTGTGCCATCGATTTTCACAAAGGAAATGAGAAGTGGAAGAGGAAAGGGGGATTACTGCTTTGCTCTACTCTACTCTCGCTACTCTATCTCAATAGTGGCGGAACTCGGTCAATCCAAAATTTCTCCAATTGCTATTTTCTGTTACGCTTTTCTTCCTTCTTTTGATATACTCTTTTGTTGCTCAATTACTCTTTTGCCCATCTGCTGCCGTGCTAAAGAAGATTTTTTTGATTAACCGAGAATGTGTTGGGAACCCCTCACAAGGGCAATGCTTGCCCTTCATCGGCCTTGGGAAGTCTGTTTTCACCTAAGAAACCTTATAATAGTGCATTAGTTGTTCTAATTAATTCAGTAGAGAAAATGGTGAGTAGTTAACTTACTAAATTTCTATTTATTAATTGATGTACTAATTGTTGTATCAAGTATTTTTTAATGGCAGCCTACACGCTGCGTTTATTGTGAATTTTTGTTTTGTTTTTAGCCCTTTACTACTTGGCCCCTTTTTAATTCTAATTCCAAAGCCTTTAGGGGTCGTGTGGAAGGTAGAATTCTAAATGAGTGATTCTATGAATGTGTGTATTATTTACAATCCATTATTCTTTTGACATAAACTTGTAAAGCATACCACTATGTTTGTTTTGAGGGGTAAATGGAGGGGAGTGCAAGTTTTTGGGGGTAAATGGGAATCCCAAAAAATATGCACCTGTTTGGATAATTATCAACAGTAGGTAGGGGGTGCATTAAAGGGGTAATTATACTGTTTGTGTTAACCCCCCAATTTGGGGCGGAAGGAAGGGAAGCAAAAAATTATTTGCTTTTATATTTTTTTTTCTCCTCCCCACTTTAATTTTCTACGGTTCTTCTTCTCCCTTTTACTTTGTTCTCTTCCATCTCTCTTCCACCATTCACTGCGAAAGACCTACCCATCCCACCCAAACAAATCATAAACCTAGATTTAGAAGATAGAAATTCTGATTCCGCCCACTCCGACTCGTCGGCTTCAATCGGCCGGCGGAGTCCTGTCATCCTCATCTCCGATTGCTGTGTTATACAGGAGTTGGGTCGATCTACTATTCTTGTTGTGGTGTTCTGTTTTTCGGATCGTTGGCCTGCTCGAGAAGGGTTCTTCATTCAAACTTTGCTGGACGTGTCCCTGCTCTTTTTGAAGGTGAATATGATAAAACCCCAACCTTGTCCATGATTGTCACTTCCCCAATCGCTATTTCTTCCTTTTTTTTTGGTCCGATGAATGCTTATAAATCCCTCTTTGAGTTCCTTCCAATATTTGAACTGTGTCCGTATATAATTTTGTTTAGCTATAACATTTCCCTCTAGTATAATTAGTAGATGACATGATTATTTGCCTTTTGTTTATTTTTTAAGCTTTATCCAATGCATTAGGTTAGCACTAGATGGGTTCTCATTGTTAGGTTAACGTTTGGGGATGGAGGGAGAAGATGAAGGGGCAGGGGCAACCTTAATTTCCATCTTTTATCTGCTTTGGTTTCTTTCTCTCGGGATTAATTGGGCAATGGAAAGTCAGGCTTGGGAAAGAGAGGCTTTTATGGTTGTCAATTGGGAAGAGACTAGAGAGGGAGAGAGGGTAGAGGGAGAAGTAAAGGCCAATGGCAATGGCGTGTAACCTCTGGTATGTGAAAGAAACAGGGGGTTTCAAAATGAAAGCTGATTCTTTGAGTGAGACTCTGTTATGGTGTTCTGTATTTTTCCTTCTTTATTAGGTTGATAAAATATGTATGCTTATAATGAGTGTCATTGCAAATGTTTTTTTGTTGATTGATCCAATTTTATCAGATGTTCGGTTGAAATATGTGTTTATTTATATGTTATAGTTTTCAGTAGTATAATTAGTAGATGGGTCATGATTATTTTCATTACTTTCATTTTCTAAGCTTTATCTGATGCATTAGGATAGTTAGCATTTGGGTTCTCATTCGCTAGGATAATTAAATATGGGTTGTCATTGCATTCATTTTTGTTACTACCTTTATTGCCTTCATTTTGGAAGGTTAATGGGTATCGAATTTTGGTGTCATGCTTAGATGGATAATGAACCGCATGCTTTCAATGGAGATGATGTTCCTGTTTTTTGCAAGGTAGTGCCTACAGTGGTGAAGATTTGATTGCTTTCACTCGTGAGCCATCACCGCATGCTTTCAATGGTGATGAGCTTGTCTAACAAACCATCTTTCTGGATGAATGATGACTAGAGTGTTTGTTAGTTATTTTTGCTTATATGTCTAAAAGCCAGGTATTATTATGCTTGTAATTTTGAGTGTTATGGTCTTGCTGATGAACCATGAGCCATGACCTATACATACTGAAATGGTCATTGGTTACTAGTAGAAAGCAAGCTGTGGCTTTTATGGATGTCCTATATGTACAAATTGTGAACTTTGTCTTGTTATTAGGATGCAGTGGGCTGTAAAGTGACTTTATCACTATGTTTGGGAACATGTCTTTATATATTATGTTAGAAGTCACATAATTAGTAATTATTTTTAATATAATAACTATTATGATTATTCATAAAGGATTGGTGTTCATGAGATACATATTATTTTATCACTAGTAAGATACCATAAGTATAATACCATAGTTAGTAAATACTCCGTTTAATATACGTATATGTACTCGTACATATTGTATCTGTTTAAAACTTCCGTATCCATATTATTGTCAAGCCGTTTCGTTTATTTTCGTTCATTTGATGGCTCCCGTACTAAACGCGTATAAAACCCGTATAACACATTTAATATCCGTATTTAATGAATTAAATTGTTCAATTTAATATTATTTATATATTTATTTAATTTTAAAATAATTTTTTTATATATTTATGACTGTTAAACGTAACATTCGGTTAGAGACGAAGTAAAATATCCGTACGTACTTTATACACAACTTTCGCGTACCGTATTTTACTACCTATGTATAATATAACATTCATATTATTATATTTACTCTTTATATATAATAATCTAAAACTCTTTCTTACATCATTTTGCACCCCCCTACTTTTTCATCCAAACAACAATTTACCCCTCCATTTGCACCCCCCAGCAATTTGCACCCCCCAGCAATTTGCACCTCAACTTGCACCCTCCTGCAATTTGCACCCCCCTTGTTGCCAAACAGAGCGTACATGTATTAAAATCAAACTTTAGAATCTCAAATGTTTACAATCATTCATTTTAGAATCTTTACAAAAAGGTGAGGTCCTCTCACTTTATTTTTGTAATTGATTTTTTTGCACTCTTATCCTTATTTTTTTTATATATTTCATATTTTTCCCTCTTTTAATCATTATATGAAGAAAACTTTAAAGTTACATAAGTTTTTTAGGTAATTAAAGTGAGAATCCTTATATTCTTCAAAAGTAAGAATCACAACTAGCAAACAAAATATTTTTACAATTAAAGTGAAAAAGACCCCAAAAGCTGTGGGGAGAAGTTCACTGAGAAAGCCCTTAATAATAGTATTTAGAAAAGATTTGTAGATTTAAAAAAAAAATTCCCCGACGAGGTTTCAAGATCATATAAAACAGTACTATTCTTTAAGTGAAAACCCTAACCTAAGGGGACGAGCACTGGACACCTAATCTTTCACAAATAATACCCCCAATCCACTGAAAACAGAACCCCTAGCAATCCCAAATACAACCCTACATCCTCCAACAAGAAACCACGCAATGGAAAGAATCCAACCAAGAAACGAATGAAAACACCAATCTTACTTGCATTGAAGAAGCAGGCCAGAGATTGGCGTGAGGCACGACCACAACATCAGGCTCGGCCACAGGGACATCATCCCCCTTATCTTCAGCTATGTGTGCAAAACTCAAATGGAGGTCGAGCCTCTCCAAGGTAGTCCAATGAGCGATGCAAATCTGGCCGGCGAAAGGGCGGAAGTAAGCGCAGACGTCGCACTCATCGGCAGGAAGACCACACACCACTAGTAGGGGAGTGGGGGGGTCCTGGTTGTGTGCCATCGATTTTCACAAAGGAAATGAGAAGTGGAAGAGGAAAGGGGGATTACTGCTTTGCTCTACTCTACTCTCGCTACTCTATCTCAATAGTGGCGGAACTCGGTCAATCCAAAATTTCTCCAATTGCTATTTTCTGTTACGCTTTTCTTCCTTCTTTTGATATACTCTTTTGTTGCTCAATTACTCTTTTGCCCATCTGCTGCCGTGCTAAAGAATATTTTTTTGGTTAACCGAGAATGTGTTGGGAACCCCTCACAAGGGCAATGCTTGCCCTTCATCGGCCTTGGGAAGTCTGTTTTCACCTAAGAAACCTTATAATAGTGCATTAGTTGTTCTAATTAATTCAGCAGAGAAAATGGTGAGTAGTTAACTTACTAAATTTCTATTTATTAATTGATGTACTAATTGTTGTATCAAGTATTTTTTAATGGCAGCCTACACGCTGCGTTTATTGTGAATTTTTGTTTTGTTTTTAGCCCTTTACTACTTGGCCCCTTTTTAATTCTAATTCCAAAGCCTTTAGGGGTCGTGTGGAAGGTAGAATTCTAAATGAGTGATTCTATGAATGTGTGTATTATTTACAATCCATTATTCTTTTGACATAAACTTGTAAAGCATACATGTATTAAAATCAAACTTTAGAATCTCAAATGTTTACAATCATTCATTTTAGAATCTTTACAAAAAGGTGAGGTCCTCTCACTTTATTTTTGTAATTGATTTTTTTGCACTCTTATCCTTATTTTATTTTATATATTTCATATTTTTCCCTCTTTTAATCATTATATGAAGAAAACTTTAAAGTTACATAAGTTTTTTAGGTAATTAAAGTGAGAATCCTTATATTCTTCAAAAGTAAGAATCACAACTAGCAAACAAAATATTTTTACAATCATCTATTTCTTACAATCACTACACTTAGAATACATATATTGCAAGAATTCACACACTTGTCGGCAGGAAGACCACACACCACGAGTAGGGGAGTTGGGGGGGGGGGGGGTGTCCTAGATGTCTGCCTTCAATTTTCACAAAGGAAATGAGAAGTGGAAGAGGAAATGAGGATTACTGCTTTGCTTTGCTCTACTCTCGCTACTCTCTCTCAACAGTGGCGGAACTTGGCGAATCCAAAATTTCTCCAGTTACTATTTTCTGTTACGCTTTTCTTCCCTCTTTTGATATACACTTTTGTTGCTCAATTACTCTTTCGCCCTCATCCGCTGTCGTGCTAAGGAAGATTTTTTTGGTTAACCGAGAATGTGTTGGGAACCCGTCATAAGGGCAGTGCCTGTCATTCATCGGCTTTGGGGAGTCTGTTTTCTCCTAAGGAACCTTATAATAGTGCATTAATTGTTCTAATTAATTCAGCAGAGAAAATGGTGAGTAGTTAACTTACTAAACCTCTATTTATTAATTGATGTACTAATTATTGTATCAATTATTTTTTAATGACAGCCTACACGCTGCGTTTATTGTGGAATTTTTTTTTGTTTTTAGCCTTTTACTACCTGGCCTCTCTTTAATTCTAATTCCAAAGCCTTTAGGGGTCGTGTGGAAGGTAGAATTCTAAATGAGTGATTCTATGAATGTGTGTATTCTTTACAATTCATTATTCTTTTGACATAAACTTGTCCAACATACATGTATTAAAATCGAGCTCTAGAATCTCAAATGTTTACAATCATTCATTTTAGAATCTCTACAAAAAGGTGAGGTTCTCTCACTTTACTTTTGTAATTGATTTTTTTCACTCTTATCCTTATTATTTTTTTTATATATTTCATATTTGTCCCTCTTTTAATGATTATATAAAGAGAACTTTAAAGTTATATAAGTCTTTTAGGTAATTAAAGTGAGAATATTTATATTCTTCAAAAGTAAGAATCACAACTAGCAAACAAAATATTTTTACAATCATCTATTTCTTACAATCACTACACTTAGAATACATATATTGCAAGAATACAGGCATTGTCCATAACTTCAATGTTAATTCACACGTAGCATTTTCTGTGGCATTCTTTTTAGTTTTCCAGCCTTTAGTTTTCAGGTCTTCCTATATCACACTTTGGCCAGCATTTGGATTACCTCAAATTTCAACTTTTAATGAAGATAAAAGAAGCAAAGCAATTGAATCACCTCAATTTTTAATTTCATTTTCTTTCTCATATGTGGGAATGCGTACGATCAATGACTGATCTGATTGATTTCTGATCATGAATACATTTTTTCTCAATCAAATTTGATGGATTATACCTCTTCAATTTAATTCAAAATTGAAACTTTTTATAGAAAAATCATACTAATCATAACTTTCAAATTTCAATCATTTTAATATGTTTGGAACAAAAAATCCAATATATTAATTAATATATAAAAGTTTAACATTGTAGTTACTATTCATTAGTGACTCTCAAACTCTTACAAGTGAAAGTGGGGAAGTTTCAAGTTTGTTTTTTTACCTTATTCTCTCATTCTATAACTTATGTGTTCATCTATTATTCGTTGGGTCTACATCTATTAGCCATTAGATTTCCCAAAATAGTTATTGTCTACTTAAAATTTCATCTATTGTTCATTGTTTTTCCTATTGTAGCAATTATCAATTATGTTTTCGTCTATGATCTTTTACCCAAATCATCGTCTTTGCCTACAGTTGGTTGCTGATAAATATGATAATGTTGGATTGCTCTGATGTTAATAATCACTTCAGTGCTTCAAACTCATGCTTGAATGTGTACGAGCCTACTATGGGGTTCACAGAAGTTTACGTCTTTCCATAATTAAATTAAAAAAATCAACTCTAATATTGCTATCAAGTATCAACCTACTCAAAGATCTTCCAACTTAGTGGGAAACATCAATCTTAGCTTGCTCTGTTGTCCTCTGTTCTGTGCGAAATTGACGAACAGAGAGGGAAGAAGCTTAACCGGGCCGAAGTGGAGCCATTTTGGTCTATGAAAGTTCCGTGTTGTTAGGCTTCGGCCCTGTAAACAAGTTTCTTTAAAGTTAGCGGCCCAAGCCCGCCCTCAAGAAAAAGGAAAGGTCAGGTAGGATACGAAGAGCAGGTATGGCCGTATGGCGCTTCTTCGTCTCCCTCAAACTCTTCCTTTCTGCTCCGCTCCTGAAGGGTTTAGGGTTTTAGCTTTTTTCTCCCGGTTCCATCGGGTTCAATGTTTCATCGCACCGGCATATTATGCCGTCGTGCCCGTTTCTACGCAATCACCATTAATCCCGCCTCCACTTCCTCATTCCAATCCTCCTGCTCTAGTTCTCGGAATCTCAATTCCTTT